TCTTTCTTCATTCGAATCCGAGGAATAGAACAAGAGGGAGAAACGCTGCACAGCATTTGTAGCAGTTGTTGGACCTCACCCTATATATAAGAAATGCATGTATTCTAACACTTAATTACTAAAAACAAGAAGCTTGTCTTCAAAACTAATCTAATATTCTTTAATATTCATAAATTTCTATTACTGAAAACTATATAAAGATTTAACTATACACATATCACAGTAAAACACATTTGTAGTTGATCCATTCCAAACCATCAACCATTACAAAAAAAATGATGTAAATATTCTTCTATTCTTTCTTATAATTTCTAAATTTTTCATGAACAATACAGACAAATTGTATGAAACTGTAACTATGAATGTGTTTTATTGCGATATGTGTTTTGTTAAATCTTTATGTAATTTTCAGTAATAGAAATTTATTAATATTAAAGCATTAATATGGTTAGATTAATATGGTTTTGAAGGCAGCTTAGGATACATGCATTTTTTTATGCATAATCTTTGTCTTTTTTTAATCTCACAAACAAAATATGTGTTTAGTCCAGAAAACTATCATTTTATTTTAACTATCAAATAGCATTGTACTGAGTAAAACATGATAAAAAATATGATGAAATTAGTTTCAAATTAACATTTATTATTTAGATAGTGAAATAAATATACTAAATAAAAACAAATATACAAAATTGTAATTTTGTTAGATAAATAATAAATTTATAAGTAACTCTCTTAATGCACCACTGAAAATACTGAATAAATTCCTGCACTATAAGGAATTCATTTTTATTTGAGATAATAACAATATCTTAATTTCAGGTTTCAGCAAAATATATCAGGAGAAAAATGTCAGGTGATTCGAGCTTGTATAGACTAGAAGGGACCGATGCGAATCAAAGCGGAGGTCTAGTCATCCGTAAGAAAGCATCAGACCACACTTTCAAGAAACCAGAGACGTCTATGTTAGGGCTGGACAAGCTTGCAGAGCGTAAAAGGAAGGAACAATCACAGGAACCTACAAGTTCCAAATCCAGGTCCGAAGGAAAGGATAGAAAATATCGGTCTTACGAAGAAGAGACTCCCACTCATACCGGTGGCGTGAATTACGAAGCGCAACGGAGACTAGAGTCGCGGCTCAAGCGTCAAAGATTAAATTCGGACGACAGGAATTCAAGGAGTTCACACAGAGACCGCGATAGACGGAGAGACAGAGACAGTAGAGCTCGAGACAGCACGAGACAAACGCCGCTTCGTTTCAAAGATGAGCCGCAGACACCGAAGTTCCGGACTAAAGATCCTACTTCCAAGAGTAATTGGGACGACGACGAGGATGAGGAGCCGAAGCGCTCAAGCTGGGATCATCCGACACCAAACATCTATGGCGCCAGGGACGGTCGCGACAGCGTCAGGAGCGAGTTTACTCCTTCTTACAAATACAATCCTTGGAACAAGGATTTCAAGAACTCCGGCGCTACGCCGTTGATAGACGGAGAAGAGAAAGAGATGTGGGAAGAGGAGCAGCAAAGATTGGATAGGGAGTGGTACGCGTTAGACGATGGGGAGAACAACGCTTTCGCCAACGTGTCCGAGGAATATACGCGGAAGAAGGAGATGGAGTTGGAGGCGAGGAGACAAAAACGCGTCTCTGCGCAACAACGGCAAATAAATAAAGACAACGAGTTGTGGGAACGCAACCGTATGCTAACGTCGGGAGTGGTGAGTTCCCTGGACCACGACGACGATCCCGACGATGAGGGAGAAGCGAGAGTGCACTTGCTAGTGCACAACGTGGTACCGCCGTTCCTTGATGGACGTATCGTGTTCACGAAGCAGCCGGAACCGGTAGTACCTGTGCGCGATCCTACTTCCGACATGGCTCTCGTAGCGAGAAAAGGCTCAGCGCTAGTCCGGGCGTATCGTGAGCAAAAGGAGAGACGTAGAGCGCAGAAGAAGCATTGGGAGCTGGCTGGCACGCACATCGGCAACATCATGGGTGTGCACGACCGGCGCAAGGACGATAAAGAGCTCACGGGACAGGAGACGGACTTTAAAGCGGGACAGAAGTACGCCCGACATATTGGAGCCGGTGAGGTGACGGGCGAAGCCAAACACAGGTCCATTCAGCATCAGAGGAGGAGTCTGCCTGTGTTCGCGGTGCGGCAGGAGCTGCTGAATGTCATCCGGGAGAACAATGTGGTGGTAATAGTCGGAGAAACCGGTAGCGGAAAGACCACACAATTGACGCAGTATCTTCACGAGGACGGCTACAGCTGCAACGGTATAATCGGCTGTACTCAGCCTAGGAGAGTCGCTGCTATGTCCGTCGCGAAAAGGGTGTCCGACGAGATGGCCACCGCTCTAGGCGACAAGGTCGGATATGCGATACGTTTTGAAGACTGTACTTCTAAAGATGTAAGTAAAACATTGAACCTTGCATTTCTTCTAGGAAATCAAATTGTTTTACGTTTTTTTTTCTTTTATACATGTATCTACATTTTATGTAACATTGATGTATTGTACATTTTATATAACGTTGACTTGAATCTTTTGCAGACGGTAATCAAGTATATGACTGATGGTATTCTGCTGCGAGAGAGTTTGAGGGAAGGAGATCTGGATCGTTACAGTGTGATTATAATGGACGAAGCTCATGAACGGTCCCTTTCTACTGATGTATTATTTGGTCTCCTCAGAGAGGTACGTTGACATTTCCTGAAATATTTTCAAGAACAGATGTTTTTTAATTTGATATCAAGGTTAAGAATGGAAAACTTTAATGACACTGTTATTAACAAATATATGTTATACATAAATTTAACTAATTTTTCAAGATAATTAATCAAGATAAAACCTTTATTATTAACAACGTTACTACCATATATCTAGTTCAGTTTTCTGCATTCTTTTCAACATGTTTTGATCTAGATAACTAGGTAATAGGTTGTAAAAATAACGTTTTTTATAATGTTAGTAACAAAATTATCAACATATTATCAAAATAAAATTTTTATCAATAGCATTTGTTTTTTGCAAATAAAAACAAATATTATAAACATTTCTCATTCCAAAATAACAAAGTTAACAGTAAAATGTGATTAACTTGTTTTGTAACTTGTTGAAAACAATTGTTTTCAGTAATTTTAATTGAGAAAATCTACATTTATCAGTAACACTACTAGAAATGCACGTAACAATGTTGCTACTGATATAAGTCGGCCTTTATTATTACTAACAAAAAAAAATTTCACCATCGCGAAGAATTATTACTGAAGAAAAGTAACTTGTATAATTGTACAATTGGTTGTAATATATGCAAGTAACGTATTACTTCTCATACAACTCTAATTAGATTTGAGGCTTTCACGGCCATTGATACAATGTCTAGGTA